TAAGACTCTTAAATTTCATACACACACAAAATGCTAAAAGTAATTTCATGATGCGAAACCCCATAGATAATTAAATTTTTATTTCAGCTTTTGTAAGTCAAATTTTACAAACACATGTAACAAATAAGAACATTTTATATTCCAAAATCCCTGATCCTGTATTTTTATAACATTCTATTGCATAAATAGGGAAAATAGAAGACAAGCCTTGACAGAGAGATATAAACCTTAAGGGTAAATCAGAAAGTGAATAACAACCACCTATATAATCAAGAATCTGCTCTACTGAATTTTGACCGTCCACAATTGATTTTAGGCATTCAGAAAGCATTTGGATATGCTTATCCATCTGGCCCCTTTACCCAATATTTACATTGAAGTTCAGTAAGTTCAATAATTAAACACTGTGTGCGTGGTGTAGTTCATCATTATTCTGATTAATATTTCCAAAGCCATGTAAGGTTAAGACTTATTATAACCCATATTCAGATGAAAAAATTAAGACAGGATGAATAACTAAACTGATGATATAAAGAGAAAAATTAGTATTGGATTCAAGTCTAGTAGGACTCTTCAACTCAGGTGGTTAGTTGTTGCATTAGAATGATGCCCTGGTGATAGTTGTTAACAGACCTCCAAAGGCCATGTCTTTGTCTCCTTGATAGGAAACAGCATTCTAGAAACCAAGACTATTATCAATTTACTCCTTCCTTTTCATGAATATTTCTATTCTTTGGCACAGATTAGGGGGGTGGTGGTGATTTCTTCTGCTGTATATATAAGGTCCAGCAAAGTCGGTCCATTTTCTTGTGCCATTGTTATGAAGGAAGAAAGTGGTTTTTTTTTTTTTTTTGTTATAGTGAATTATTTCATTCTTGTGAGGCAGAGCAAAAAGAAAGATAGCGAGGAAGGGGACATGAAATCTCATTTGGGGATAAAGAAAACAACTATTTCAAATAGTATGTAATTGTGTATAAGTAAATGTGTGTGGAATAAAAATGTAGAATGTAATTAAAACATTTGAAATATCTCAGCAAAAATAACAGATAGAGATCCTGTGTTCCCACATCTTTACCACCCTCCTCTCTCAAGCCGCTGGCTTAGTACACCAAAACATCCCTCCTTTAAAGAAAAATAAGTGGAAATAAAGAGAGCAACCCAGCATCAAGAAGAGAAAAAAGTGAGAATAACATATTGGGAACAGAAACTGCAGTCTAACTAGTGCCTCCCCACCTTCATTACCATCCTTCCAAATAAATCTCCCTGCTCCTCTTGAGCTGGCAAATAAAAAAATCAGCCCACAAGATATATGTGTGTGCTTCTCCTGATGAGCATCACCATCCATCTACAGTACGTCCCACATGCCAGTTTGAAGATGGGCTAGAGGGAGAATTAAAGACTTCAGAAAGTCCACAGCATAATCAAGAAGGCTTTTTTCTTCTGACTACACAGCTTTCATCTCTGTCTTGTGTGATTTTCTCTCCATCTCCTTCAGTCTATGGCAAAGATGCTGATTGCTGACGGGACAATAACGAATCATATACCTAACCTTCCAGGGCAACCAATTGGTTTCCAATATATGGCATGAATGCTTTTGATAAGTTTCATTTTGGCAAGGACTGTTAGTTCAGGTGTAGCCACACTGACACATTAGAATCCTGAATTCTGAGGTTTTAAAAGATGATGTCCAATTTCAAATGCATTTTTTAAATTTCAAATATAAAATAGCTTTCAAAGTACTATGGCAAGGTACAGACATTGCTTCAGATTAGGACGAAATTCAGTGGCAGTACTAAATATTTGGTCTGAACTAGTTGGACATTTTCCTTTGTTTGTTTTTATCTCAGTACAGGTAACCCTCCTCTAAAAAGTAATATTTATCATTGTTGAGACTTGATGGCATGTGGTAAGATCCCTAAGAAATAATTAATTCTAATTCTCCATACTTGCTGGGATCCTTTCTATGATATCCTAGTATGGGTTCCATTTTGGACTTCTCTAATTATTTAAAAGTTCTTTGTTATATGGAGTTTGTGATTTTGCTTACCAATATTAATTTCACGTTAGAAAAAGTTGATTCTGTCTTTCGTATAGCTGCCCTTCAAGCATTTGAGGAAAATACCATGGCTCACCTGAGATTTCTTTTCTCTGCGTTAAACACCCTTAGGTTCCAGAATTTTGTCTTCTAGCTGTTTCTACTACTACTACCTCTCCATGGCAGACAATGCTAATCACAATCCTCATGTCTACTGACCTGAGCCTAAGATCCCTTTCCACATAGCTCTCCAAGCAGTCACTATTCCATTTGAATTGTAAGTTGAAACCTATTTACTAACCTTGGTATTTTGGTTTCAATATGATAAAGTTCAGGGAAGATGGACATGGAAAATGGATTAAAGCTCTTTAATAATTTGAACATGATGTAGTTTGGGTACTGGTCCAAGGTTGATGTCACTCTATTTCAAATTGAATTAAGGAATTATATAGAATGTCAACTGTGCCCTTGATAATGCAGCTTCCATTAAAAAGAACTGTTTCTGAACAGATCGTTGGAGTCAAAATACCCATATTTGGCAAGATTCTCAGTGCTAAGTTATTAAAAGAACCAGACAATGAAAGTGAATGACTGAGTGATATCTGTAAACATTATATCAGAACTTTGGTTTGGCTTAGTTTAAGGAATGATTAATTAGCTTTTATCCATTGTTATTCAAGTTTACAGATTTCAAAGCTGCGTCGAACACTTAGAATCTAGAATATCCTTCTTTGATAGCAATCTATACCTTAACTTCATGGCAGGTTTCATTTAGGAGTTCTACTTCTTTATAAAATACTTATAGAAGATTTTTAGAAGAAAATATTGCTTAGAAACTTAATCTTCTTTTATACTCCTCATCATCTTCTGCCAAAAGAACTGGAGAATGTTCTATCTTTGTTGCATGAGATCATGCATATCTACTGCCAAACTTCAGAGAGGCCACCTAGAGTATATATTTCTCCATCTGTCAGGACCAGGAAACCATCGAAATTTGTGGATGAATGATCATTAATACAATTTTGTGGCTCTTTCTCTGGGTGCAAGTTTTTGTGAAGAAGTTAGGCATTCAAAGAAAGTGACTATCTGAGGTAAGTATACTCATTAGGTTTGATTACTTTTTTAACAGTCAAATTTCCTTCAAAAAGTAACAGAACACTTAATATCTCCCCACTTGACCTATATATTCTATACATGCTGGTGGCACAGACTGGATACAAATCAAATATCTCTGCTTGTGGCTGGAGTTCTATGTAATATCAGTTTGTTTACTTAGAATGATGACCCAAATGTCTTTGCTTAAAAAAAAATGGAAAAGCTATTACTTCAATGAATCCTTCAGTGAAAGTATCTTTAAAATGGCTCCAGAGATGGGAGGCCTGGGTGGCTCAGTTGGCTAAGTGTCTGTCTTTGGCCTTGTAGTACCCAGGATTCTGGGATCCAGCCTCCTGTGGGATCCCTGCTCAGTGGGGAGTTTGCTGCTCCCTCTTTCTCTACCCCTCCCCCTACTTGTGCTCTCTCTCTCTCTCTCTCTCTCTCTCTCTCTCGTAAATAAATAAAATCTTAAATAAAATAAAATAAATAAAATAAAATAAAATGGACTCTAGGGAGATGGTTGGATGGAAAAAAGTAGGCCTTGGTGATGAAATGGGTAAGTCCCCCGATGATGAAGCATCCTGTTGACTTAGAGAATGTTGACACCATGTAAATCCTAGAAAAGGGCCTGGTTTAGGAGGGAAGATGATTCAGTCTGAGATATATTTACTTTGAAGTGATTGTATGATATTTAAGTGAAAATGAAATGTGATGTTGTGGTTCTGGTGAGAAATCAGGACCAAAAATATAAATTGAGGCATCAATCAGGATATAGGTTATTTCTGAGTCAATGACAGGGGATTAGGTCACTGAAGTGGTCAAAAGTGAACAAATCCTCGGAGTTCAGCATAAGAGAAAATAATGAAAAGAAAAAAAAAAGAATTGGAGTAAGAGTAGAAATCTTTGTGACTGTCACAGAAGCTTGTGGAAAAGAGAGTTAAGAGAGGCAGTGGTGGGGATCCCTGGGTGGCTCAGCTGTTTGGTGCCTGCCTTCCGCCCAGGGCATGATCCTGGAGTCCCAGGATCAAATCAAGTCTCACATTGGACTCCCTACATGGAGCCTGCTTCTCCCTCTGCCTGTGTCTCTGCCTCTCTCTCTCTCTCTCTCTCTCTCTCTCTCTCATGAATAAATAAATAAATCTTTAAAAAATAAAAATTAAAAAAAAGAGAGAGGCAGTGGTCCTGAGCTGCTAATGCTGCCTAGAAAGATCATGTCAAATGGAAAATTTGAACTGATTTTTCCTTATCACTGATTCCTTCAGTTGCTCCCAATTTTATACAAAAACCAAACCATTCTCATTTGTTTTTGTAACATGCTGCTCTTCATGGTCACAATTCAACCAGGTCACCATCACTAGGACATGAACTTAGAAGTACTTTTGTTGAATAAATGTGATGGATTGCATCATTTCTATCTCTTGATGGCTTCTTTCAGCTACTTAGCCAAGGATAAAGATGAGAGTTCTGGTTATAGAATAAAGTCTGTTCCTGCATAACACTAACTTGACTATATAAAAGTAAAGTTTAGGATTTAGGGATCATTGATAAAATTCCATGGTCAACTAGGCTAATCAGCCTAGACATTTGACTCAAGTTGCCTGCTTGATTCAACACTAATAAATAAACAGGTTACTTCATTTGAAGAAATATATGTTTAGGCAGAAAGAATACAGTTCCTTTTCACAATTGGTTCCTACCAAAGGGGAAGGACAAAGGACAAATATATGGACATGATTTCTTCCAAGTAAATAGCTGAATAACATAAATCTTGTGCTCATTGGTTTTAACGTTGATCCATCTTGTGAAAATTGTGCTCATCAAATGAAACAAAGGCCCAACGAACTCTTCACTTTTCTCTTCTCCATCTCAGCTCTTCAGTCTTGCAGTTGACTTCCTGCTCCTCATGCAGAGATCAACTAAATTCTCAGAAACAGATGGTGTTCCCTCTACCACCAACTTACCCTTCTGCAGTTCGGCAGTTGGCAAGGCCAGATGGATTAACATCCTGGAATTAAATTTTTCACCAAATTCTTTTAAGTAAGCAGACGTTTTATTAATATGGACTTCTGGACATGGAACAATACCCAGAGATGATTGATTGGAAAATCTAATTAAAGGCAACAATGTGGAAGAACCGAAGCAGTGAGTTCATTCTGAAAATAAACAACATACTTGTATCTCATACTCTTTGAATAATAAAACTGAACTGAGAATATATTTTACAGTGGTTGGATGGATAGGCATTGCTTGCCGATGACTTGCATTCATCCTCAGACACCTAGAACTGACTACAGATAAGTCCAACAAAAATAATAATATATTAGTCTCAGGCTAATTTTTATATGGGGAGAGAAAGTTGGGCTATCACTCAAATTCCTAACTTCTACCATTCTACTGTCCAAAATTCATTAAAATCAAAAATTAATGATGTGCTTAGTGTTACAAATTTAGCAGGGTGCTCCCTACAAGAATCGAAAAGGAAATACATTGTCCCTACACATAAAGCTGTAAAGCCAACGCAGAACAGGACATAAATAAACAAGCTAAGGCTGGCTCCGTCTTCATTATTCATGTCACACTTTAAATACTGTTTTATCAGAGAGACCTCCCTTCCCCAATCAACATAACATCTCTACGTCTCTGATCACTAGTACTTCAGCCTTGTTTTATTTTCTTCATAGCCCCTATTACTACCTGATGTGCATTTGTTCACTTGAATATCTGCCCCCCACCCTGTGCCCACCCCCAAGAGTGTGCTTCCTAAAACCTGGGATCTGTCTGTGTTGTCACTAATTGAATCTCGGCACCCCAGACAATATCTGACACCTAAGAGGCACTCATAAGTATTTGTTGAATAAATAAATGAGTGAGTGAATGAATATGGAAGAGGTGGGTGATTCCTACTCCAGGTACTCTGCTCTACTATGAGATTGCAGGTATTAATGTATCTGCAGAAAGGTCAGTTAGAACATGGGGGCAAGAGGCAAAAGCTTGGGGTGTCCATGCAGGAACTACTAGGAGGAGAGGGCACTTGGTCATCATGTCACTAACTTTTTTGCTATGAATAATTGGAAAAAGGTAGGCTTTGCTTTTGCCCTTAGACCTCTGTTCCTCCAGCTTTGTCTTTGCAATTCTCCTGTCCTGCTTTCCTCCTTCCCTTCCTTAAACATAAAGATATACTAGGCACTGGAGCCTAATTTCCCTGGGTTCACTCTTGACTCTGCCATTTATAAGGTGATGTTGGACAAGTTAACCTCTCTCTGCTTCACTGTCCACAAACACAAAATAAGAATGATAATAGTCTCCAAGTATGTTTTGAATATTGAGTGAAGAAATATGTATAAATCACTTAGAATAGTGTCCAGATGCTCTAGCACTAATATTAAGCGCTAGATAATATTAAGTGCTAATATTAATAATTAAATGCTAATATTGTTATCTTTATCTTAACTAATGTCTTGACATATTAACTATCGTGTTACTCTATCTTCTGTTGGCTTTCAATTCTGACATCTAGTAGGAACTCAAATGTTTTATTTACTTAAATTGATCCTTTTGTTTCCAATGTCTATCACCTTTTGCTTTAATGAATTTTCCATTTTTCTTTTCTTTATATAAATGTATTGTTTACTTTTTTTTTTCTTCTTTTCTGTTCCAGGATGTACCATCTGGTTTTATTCTAGCACTTTGTTAACAATCCTGATCTACTACATCTAGGCCTTTACTTATCTTTAATTCACTTGTATCTCTCCACTGACTTTTTTTTAACTTCAGTTCATACAGGGGCAACTCTAAATCATTAACTTTGTCTAATTCTTTTCTGTCTGAGATGTGTGGTGGGCATAATTTTGAGGTAGCCCCCCACATTTACTGCTCCCCTGGTATCCACACCTTGCATGATTCCCAGGAGTGTGAATTGGGTGGTTTTATGAATGAATGGTTTATTAGTGTTAATGTTACATGGTATGGTAGGGAGATTCTCCTGGTTGGCCTGACCAAATCATATGAACCTTTTAAAACAGAGCTTTCTCTGGCCAAGAAAGAACTAAATCAGATTTTTTTTAAATAAATTTATTTTTTTATTGGTGTTCAATTTGCCAACATATAGAATAACACCCAGTGCTCATCCCGTCAAGTGCCCACCTCAGATTTGAAACATGAGAAGAATTAGATGCACTGTCTCTGGCTTGAAGATGGAGGGAATCATGCAGCGAGGAATGTGGGTGGCTTCTGGGATCTGAGAGAGGCCCAAGATTAGAGCCAGCAAGGAACGTAAGGCCCCTTTCCTATAACGTCAAAGAACAAAGCCCTGCCAACAATACTAATGAGCTCGGAAACAGATTCTTCTTCCAGAGACTCCAGAAGAAAAAGCCCAGCTAACACCTGATTTCAACTTTGTGATTCCCTGAGCGAACCCAGGCATTCTACTCCAGACTTCTACCTACAGAACCTCAAGTTGATAAGTAGGTGTTGTTTTAAGCCCCTACATTTGTGATAATTTGTTACACAGCAATAGGGACTAATGTCATGTGTTTCCCTCAAGGTATGCTAAGTCTGTATTGATTATTACAGATGCAGTCAAATCACGGTTATGTACCAGGAATACTATCAGCCTAAGCTGGCATTGACCCAGATTATTGAGAGAGAGGAAGCAAGCTATTCTATTGGTCTCTCCAACAGTAAAGAAATTGACTTCAAAAATTCATTCTCATGTCTTACATGGCAATATACCTATATTTTAACTTATTTCTGGAATTTTAAACATTTAAATGTGTAATACTCTATGATTTCTTAAATAGCACAATTATTACATAACCATTAACCATTATTACATAACCATGTGAAAAGAATAGAGTAGTAAATTAATGAAATATGTCCAAAAACGGACATTATTTTTCCTCACAGATCACTAAAAAGGGCTTTGGATAGTTAAACTAATATCTATCTGACTGAATGAGATATCTATTCACATAGCAGTTCGTAAATTAACAAAGTATAAACCCATTTAGGATTCCAGATTAACCCAGGGTCTAGAAGAAACCATTGATTTCTCCCTTCTGGGGTTATAAATACATTTAAGTCTGTTTTGTAAGTCTTGAAGGTATGAGGTCTTGTAAACCCATGAATAGGATGCTTTCAGGGATGTGACCATATTACATCTGCCATTCCTGCTTCTTCATATCTTTATTACTGATGTCAAGGAAATTTGAAGATTTTTCAGATGTCTCAATCTCTCTGTCATGTTTGGCTTTACAGAAGTTAAATTTGGACATCTATATTTTACTCTATATTTGCTGAGAAAAGCCCAGGACAGCATCCCCACAGAAGCAGAAGATGGAAAAGGACAATGGAACATTCCTTTAGACTTTTTTTAGTGAGATGAGTGATTAAAAGAAGGGAGGAGGAAATGAGATCACTTTCCCAGAGCTCTATATGCTGTCTGATATAATGCTCTCCAAAGAGGCTTGAACAGTGAAGTCATTCTGGCTTCGGTGTTGTGTTTTGTGAAAGCGATGGATCTGAAGGAGCTTTCTGAATAGAGCTCTATAGTAATATGTCAATAAATCGGACCTATTATTGAGAGCAGCATTTTTAATAGCAGGTTTAGAAAGGGAAAATAAATTACAGATTACATGGCTGCTTTGTTTTATAAGGGAAAAAAAGCAATTATGCAAACGCTAATCCCACAGATATAAATTACTTTGTAATGACTCACAGAAACCAGAATATACCAGGCAGGGTCCAATCGCGATACAAAACCACACAGTAATTTGAACAAGAAAAGTTTAATATAAAAAATTAGTAATTCTAGCATAAGGTTGGAGTGCCAAGGGATTGGCTGATAAGAAGAATAGAGAACCCTAAAAAGATAGGAGTAGCAAGGAGTAGCAGGGGTGCCTACGTGGCTGAGTCAGTTGAGTGACTCTTGATTTGGGCTTAGGTCATGATCTTAGGATCATGGGATCAAGCTCCGTTTTGAGCCCCAAATCGGGCTCAGCTCAGTGTGGAGTCTGCTTGTTCCTCTTCCTCTGCTCCTCCTCCTCTCTCTCTCTCTCTCTCTCTCTCTCTCTCTCTCTCTCTCAAATAAATAAAATATATATTTTAAAAATTGAAGCAGCAGAAAGGAGAAGCCACCAGCCTTCATGCTGATATAGAACATCTGAGGAAGAGCTTCTGTGTGCTGAGACTGGTAGAGGGCTTGGCTCTGCCTCAGTGAGTGGGAGAGAGATCACTCTGATGTTGCACTAGTAGAACTTGCTATAAATCTACCCTTGCTGGTGCTAGGAAAAACTCTTCAGAAGAGGTGTCTCCCTGGAGCCACTGTACTACACAACTGCCCAGGGGGGGCCTCCTGGTGGAAGTGGCTGGCTGAGAGTGCTACTACTGGCTTCCAGACACTGCAAGAGTCATGCACTGGAGAAGCTGTATTGCAAGAGCTGGGCACTCAAAAAGCTGCACACATTGCAGGACATGGGTACTGGAGAAGCTGCCCATCCTGCAGGAACCAGATGCTGGAGAAGCAGGCCACACTGTAGGAGTCTGGCACTGAAGAAGTCACATGTGCTGTGGAAGCCTGGTGCTAGAGGGTCACGGGAGTCTGGTGCTGGAGAAGCCAAGCCATGCTGGAAAGGCAGCACAGTCTGCAGAAGCCTGCCAGTTGAGCACTCTAGAACCAGGAGGGATGGCCAGTCATCCTGATGTCTCTCTAGTGCCCTCTACTGACAACTTCTAACATGCCAGTTGACGGGGAAAATTCATATTCATAGGCGATGAAGATGGAGTTGGAGCTGAGAGGCAATGAATTAATATCATCCTTTAATGCAACCCCTATACTTGGCCTGGTGTCTTTTATCTGTTAAGGAATTCTCCTTGATATTTGTGCTAGGCCGACTGGTTGGCAATTGCTATCTCTACCATCAACCCCAATCATTTGAGAATGTTTACATTTTTATGGCCAATAGATAAAACTTTTTTATTTGTAACATGCCGCTAAATCCACCCAGCTCTTCACATTCCTGTCTCTTAACACAGACGTGCTTCTCCCCCTTCTCCTTGTTGAAATTGTCCCTGAATGAGCCTTTATCTTTACCATTCTGAGCTTTCTTCTCCTGGCTAAATATAACCAGCGCTTCTGGTGC